GGGGGGGGCGTTGTTTGACTCCAAGGCAAGTGGTTTTTAGCCATGCGGTGGTCCAAACCCCCCACCCCCACCCCCCCTCAGATGGATGGACAAGCAATGGATTCCAATGCCCTGTTGTACCTGCTTTTAGAGAGGAGCCACCTAGCAGTTTGAACTTGCTCCCTGGAGGCAGATGGCCTGGATTCACCACACTACTCTTCAACCTGCTTATCCTGTGTAACAAATTCTAACTGATCCATACCCTTGGGATATGAGATGTTGTCCCAAGATGTTGGCATATACCTCATCTATTAACCTGTACTTCTCCCCCCACCCCCGCCCCCCCACTGTTCAGGAGAAAGACGAGGCGTTCTACTCCCTTTAAGAGTTAAAAGTCTTGGAAACCCATAAGGCAGTTCCACACTGCCCTGTCGGGTCAGTCCCCAAGTCACTCGGTGATGGAACCCACGCCATGGCAGTGAATGGTTGTTCGTTCCTGATCATCTGTCTGTGTTGAACCCTCGATCCTCTCACAGGAATTGAGTATCGATTTTGACCAGACCAAGACCCCCAAAACATGCATCAAAGGACAGTCACAACCCTCTGGTCCACCTTGGAACAAAAGTACTTTGGTCAAGGAACCAAAAGTCTCCCGAAGGGCACCACCAGACCAACTCATTTTGAAAGCCAGGGCTGCTGTGAGCCACATCCCGTCAAGAATCAGAGCCTGCCTTGACGCACATTCACCACCATTCCTGAGATATCTGTTACAGATTCATAATCCCTCCTTTACTTCCTGATGTAAATAGATAAGAGGAGCCCTGGTGGTGTAGTGGTTACTCATTGGGCTGCAATTCATAAGGTCAGCTGTTCGAAACCAACAGCTGCTCTTTGGGAGAAAGATGGGGCTTTTTACTTGTGTAAAGAATTACAGTCTTGGAAATTCACTGGGTCAGTTTGACCCTGTCCTGTAGGGTTGCTATGAGTCAGCATCCACTCAATGCCAGTGAGTGAGTACCTATAAAACTATAGACACCCCCCTTTTGTCCCCCACTCCCAGGAACTTCCTTTGACAACTGGAATCCGGGCTTGCTCCTTGTTGATCAATCAAAGTAAAACATGCCCCTTTCAGCTCCATCCAGCCTGTCTTTGTCTCTCAGCGGCGCCCAGCAAGACCTGGGTTGGTAACTTTTATCACCCTTGGCTGATGTTCCTTTATTCCTTTATTCATAGATGAAGATAACAGCGAAGACTGTGACAGAAGTTGGATTTTACCTAAGCTTTGTAAGCCCCTGGAAAAACAACAGTCCTTATCAAAATCTGCCCCCTCTGTGTTCAGAACAACGGCTTCCTAAGAAGAAGCAGCATTCCCGCAGGATGTAGATGAGATGTGCTGACACCCGTGGTTTACTTATGACAAAGACAGCCACCAGACTTTGCCCTTGAGTCAATTCCGATTGTAGCGGCCCTCTAGGGCAGAGCTGAGCTGCCCCGTCGGGTTGCTAAGGCTGTCAGTCTTTATGAAAGCTCACATTTTTCTCTTGCAGAGTGGCTGGTGGATCTGAACCACAGACCTTTTAGTAAGCAGCCGAGTGCTTAGCAACTATGCCACCAGAAGAGAGACTATCTCCAAATTCCCATTCATTGCCTCATAAACGAGTAACTGAACTGATTGTCCCCACTCATCAATCCAAAACGAAGTGCTAATCAAACTTGGGTTAAGCTACACTCCTACCCCAGTCCCTGAACTTTGACCTAGACCCAGCTCCAGCCAACCTGCTGTTGCTACCATCCAGCTGATTCCAACTCCTGGCAAGTCCCCCGGTGCGGAGGGAGACGGTCTATGGCCTTTCTGAAACACGGCCAGCCTTGTCTTCTGAGGCACCTCTGGGTGGGTTCGAACTTACACACTGACAGCTAGAAGTCAAATGCTTAAAACCATTTGCACAACCCAAAAGAGTAAGTTGGGGGGAGGGAGATAATTACCTACCAGACTTAAAGATCTACAAAGTTAAAATAACTCATCATTAGCTATTGGGATGAGCTTTAAAATGCAAGAATAAAGTCTAGCAATAGACTCATGTTACTGTGTTCCCCGAAAGTAAGACATCCCCCGAAAATAAGACCTACTTAGTTTTGCCTCTTGCTGAAATATAAGGCATCCCCCGAAAATAAGACCTCCCTGAACATAAGGCCTCCCCGATAATAAGGGCCCCCAAAGCTACCATAACGCTGGACTCTGGACCGTTGCGATGAGCGCTTCTGCCCAGCTCACTTTTGGCCGCAGCGCAGCCGGAGCAGACAGGAAGTGTGAGTAAATGTACCAGAGATGGTTGTACATGAAAATAATGGTAGTAACAAGAAAGTCTTGATACTGTAGGATTCACAGTTTGTCTGGTTATGCTGGTTTGTGATGACTACTACTGTACCGTATACAGGTAATAAATTTCCTTTTTTGTTGTTCAACAATAAATGTGTACCATATTCTTCTTCATGGAAAAATAAGATAGCCCCTGAAAATAAGACCTAGTGCATCTTTGGGAGCAAAAATTAATAGAAGACACTGTGTTATTTTCAGGGAAATGGTATTTTTAAGAGAACTTAATCTACAAAAGAGGTTATATTATAAATTAGTAGGGAAGGGACGGACGATTCCATATGTAATGTAATATGGAATGGAATGTTTTCTTCTATTAAACACAATCAACTGCGAGAAAGTATGATTACAATCTATGACAAACTGATAAAGGCATTCTTGGGTTCTCATTCACACTTCTGATTTAATTACTCCCTGAAGTTGACTGTGGGGTTCAATTTCTGCATGCAGACATGCTTACCCAGCAAGCACTCTGCATTTTATTAGACTCCCTACCTGGCAACTAATTCATCATTTTAGCTATGCATGACATTTTCTCATAGCACATCAAGTCATGAGAGAGAGCCTGCCCATTATCTTGTATTGGTAACTGGTCAAATGGATAACTGATTTTAGAACTCAATCATTTTATCCGGTCGTGACTGCTTTTAGGAATCTGTTGTCAGAATGGGGTCATTATTTTCTTTCTTGTTTTTCTAAAGTGAAAATGATATTTCAAAAAATTAATTTTGCTAGCTCCTAAGTGGTTATGCATTGGGCTGCTAACCTCAAGGTCAGGCATTTAAAACCACCAGCTGCTCCTAGGAAGAAAGAGAGGCTTTCTACTCCTGTAAAAAAAATTATTTTGCTTCCTCAAAAGGGGAGTCTAAAAATTAGACTCTATGCCTTGAACATGAAATAAAGCATTCTCCAACTCAAGAATATATTGTGACTGGCATATATAAAATTAAAATTATTTGAGGGAGTATTACATCCACCCCCAAAATATGGGTCGTAAATCCTAACTTCTATCTCTGTGGCTATAATCCCACTTAGGCATGGGTTATCTTTGTTATATTAAAGATAGGGTGTATTTTAAATCAATC